TTGTGAGCGCTGTGTACGCCTGTCATCTGTGTGTTGTTCTGCTTCTTTGTTTTCATTGTGTACAGTATATTAATTTAGTTGTGAACTTTGAACATGCCATTGGTGTACCTTTCCAAATAAATAAATAAATAAATAAATAAATAAAAAAATAAATAAATAAATAAATAAATAAATAAATAAATAAATAGATAAATAACAAGTAAACAAAATGGGCATAAAGTGGAAGCAATTCAGCTTTTCTTCTGACGAGAATGCGTTCCAAAGATCTAATCCCTCGATCTCTACCACTGTTGAACATGATTGCTATCTCAGTTTATCAATGAGTATTGTTTTAATACATGAATTACAACTGCGTACACTGGCTGCAGTCCAAACAACATAGTAAAGTTAAATGAAATTAATAAGCACAGAGCCATCGTTGTGTGGTGGCGCCCCCTGCAACTAATTTGGAATAATATTATGAATGCGAAAGTCTTGATAGATGGATCTTTGTTAAAGTTTGCCGCCTACACGGCTGAACGGATCTCGACTTTTGGCATAGGTGGCATAGATGGAAGTACACAAAGGCCACTTTTGTCTTTTTTTTAACTCCAAGCTAACAGAGTCGCGGGCAAATCTAGTTATAAAGAAGGAAGCACAGCAAAATGTATTTTGGAAGTAAAACAAAACTTACTTTACTAAGGTTCTAAAGATAAATATGCTTCAGAATCTTAGTAAAGTGAATTTTTTTACTGTTATTCTCCCTGATTATTTTTATTTCGATTTCAGTGTAGTTATGTGGAATGAGCTTGCGATATGTAAAGTTTCTGATGATGATTCCTTTAAATTTTAATTTTAATTTCATAGCGCAGTATTCATGAATGAACATACTGATAGGTTCATACAGCTTTCTGTCTATCCGTCCTTATTAGACAGCTGAGTCATTTACGAGGTCTTTGCCTGTATCATATTTTATAAGATAATTATTTTTGATTTACTAATGTATGTTAAGAGAGTGAAACTTTTCGTTATATTTTCTTAGTTTTAAATTTAACATGATTTGGCAACTGTGATTAAAATTAGTTTCCGGCGGCGCTGGACGACGGACGGACATTGTCACTCAGCTATGCAAGCTCAACACAATTCCTGGGACGATAAAACTTGGCACTTGATCAATTAATGTCTATAAACAATACCAAATAAATGCATGATACCATTATAAGTAT